GTTAATAGTTGTGGGGTTGTTAAGCAGTGTCATAAAACAACGTGTACTACTGTTTCATGAGAAAGTATTTGTTCTGTAAGCCTTCATCTGAAGTACAATAAAATATATATATAAAAAAAAAATTGCCAATGGGAAAAAAGGGGGGGGGTGAAGGAGGGGCTTCTTGGCCACTTGACAAATGTCATGAATGAAAGGAAGGAGCCGGAGATGCACAGATTTGGGGAATTTAGGAAACCCTTTAAAGAGGTCTCTTGCAGCAGAGTTGTCCAGTGCAACCCGTCGTTTGATTTCCTGACTGCTGCTTCCATGGGTGTTGATTGTGGATCCCAGTAAAATGAGATGCTTGACAACCTCAGTCTTTTCTCTGTTTATCAGGATGTTGCTTATTGGTCCAGTTGTGAGGATTTTTGTTCCCTTTATGTTCAGGTGTAATCCATACTGAAGGCTATAGTCTTTGATCTTCGTTTGTTCCTTTAGTACTTGTTAATCAAGCATCATATTATTGGAGGGATTTTAGGGGTGCTATAGAGAGGACGCTGAGATAGAAAAGGCACCTTCAGAATGCTCAGTTCTAGTATTTCCTGGGCCAGGATACTGGAGGCTGAGGCTGAGGCTGAGGAGACTTCCAGCATTCTTTAATTTATTCCATGTGAAGAATTAGGCGATTCTTACAATAATCGTGCAGTGTGATGTTGGTCTCAACGTGCTCCTTCTTTCTTCTTGAGCAGGTGAAGAGCGCAGAGAGCCGTCACGCCATGAATTCCCAGTACAGGATGCATTCCTACTACCCGCCTCCCTCCTACCTGGGCCAAAGTGTCTCCCAGATCTTCCCCTTTGAGGACGGCCCCTCCTACTCCGAAGCCAAAGCCAGTGGTAGGTGCCTGGGTACCCAGACTGGATTTGGGGTGGGGGAGGATGAGAATCTCATGCTGGGCCACTAGCCCTCTCTAAGGGCTCAGCAGTGAGTAGCAGCTGGAAGGTTTATTGCTGTGAGAAACGTACGTAAGGATCATTTAAAGTATTTAGTTACAGAATTATTTTGCTTTGCTGGATTCTTTTTTTTTTTATTGTTGTAGTTTAAATGAAGTTTACATTTCAAGTTAGTCTCCCATACAAAAATTTATACATACATTGTTATGTGACCGTAATTGCTCTCCCTAGACTGTGACAACACACTCCTCCTTTCCACCCGATTCCCCATGTCCATTCAAGCAGCTCCTAATCCTCTCTGCCTTCCCATCTCACCTCCGGACAGAAGCTGCCCGTTTAGTCTCATGTATCTACTTGAGCTAAGAGGCACACTCCTCATGAGTATCACTTTATGTCCCACAGTCCAGTCCAATCCCTGTCTGAAGAGTTGGCCTCGGAAATTGGTTTAGTTCTGGGCTGATAGAGAATCCAGAGGCCGTGCTTTCCAGGGTTCCTCCAGTATCAGGCAGACCATTAAGTCTGGTCTTCTTACTAGAATTTGAGTTCTGCACCCCACCTTTCTCCTGCTCCATCAGGGACTCTCTGTTGTGTTCCCTGTCAGGGCGGTCATTGGTGGTGGCCGAGCACCATGTAGTTCTTCTGGTCTCAGGCTGATGAAGTCTCTGGTTTATGTGGCCCTTTCTGTCTCTTGGGCTACTACTTTTTCTTGTGTCTTTGGTGTTCTTCATTCTCCTTTACTCCAGGTGGTTGGGACCAATTGATGCATTTTAGATGGCCGCTCGCTAGCTTTTAAGACCCCAGATGCCACTCACCAAAGTAGGATGCAGAACATTTTCTTAATAAGCTTTGTTATCCAGTTGACCTAGATTCCCTTGAGAGCATGGTCCCCAGACAACTACTCTTGCTACTCTGTCCTTCAAAGTGGTGGATTGTGTTCAGGAAACTCAGTCTAATTCTGACTTCCATTGCCTCCATTCTGCTCCTTTGACTTTCTGTTGAGTTGTCTAATTCTGAAATTCTATTGTTAATCTTCTGGATTTCTGATTGCTGTCTCTCTGTGGATTCTTGCAGCCTGTTAAATTTGTCATTATGCTCTTCTCTAATCTTTTTAATTTCCTCTATTGCTTGTTCTGCGTTTTGCTTAATTTCCTTCCTAATTTCTTGAAGAGTTCTTTAATCTTTTGTATACTGCCTCCGCTAATTCCAAGAAATTTTCCTCCTCTGGAAAATTTCTAGATTCTTTATTTTGGGAGCTTGCTGAAGCCATCATGGATTGCCTCATTATGTGTTTTGGTATTGACTGTTGTCTCCAAGCCATGGATAAGTTACTATATTTATTTGTTTTATGTTTGCTTACTGTGTCCTAGCTTCTTGTTTTGTTTTAATATGCCCAAATAGGCTGCTCGTATGAGCTAGTTTGATTATTGGCACCTTTGAAGCTCTAATGTCCTGTCACCAGGTGGTTAGATCCGTTACTAGGTATGTGAGCTCAGGAGTCTGCCCACTCCTTCTGTATGGATTCAGCTCAGGTGCCCAAATAGATAGCCACCAAGTGTGTGGTGGAGGCTCTCACCTACAGTCCTAGACAGGCATGAATGATTGGTGTAGGCACAGGTATCTGGCTGCAGCAGGAGACACACTCTGAGCAAGGCAGGGGGCTGATGTCCCTGTTCCCTAGAGCGCGTAGATGGGTAGGTTTTGCAGCTGGACTATGAGCACCCAGTGCGGTTGGCTGTAAGGACTGGGGGGTGCCTGTTATTCATGGGCCCCTATCGCAGGTGGCTAGGTGGCATGGGTGGAGCCACCAGTCCTCAGGCCCCTGATGTGGGTAGGTGAAGACCCTCCTTAATGGGCAGAGCAGCATCAAATGTCAAGAACCTGCCACTTCACGGCTGAAACAGTTGAAGTTAAGGTTCCAGTATATACCCCGTTGTACTGCGGTAAGGAGGGCCTATGCTGCTGAAATGGGCCCACACAAATCTATGCAGGGGAAAAGGCACTCAGAGTCTGTGGATCCCTTATGCCTGCACCTAGGCAAAGGAGCTGTGCCTACCCTGGGTTCCTGGTTTAGGGGAGCTGGCGGTTTATTTTTTCCCCTGTTTGTTAATTTGTTCACTCTCCAAGGCAGGGAGAATGGCTCAGGGCATGTGACAGATCCTACTTCCAGCCCAGGGGACTTGACAATTGCTGAAGCTGGTCTGGGACCCAGTGCAGAGCGGGGAGCGGGGAGGTAAATGGGAGAGAGGTTTTTCCCTAAGTGGAGTGTTTTTGATCCACGCGGTAGGCCATACGCAAGTACTTATCTTGCGTCGAGGGCTGCTTCTCACTGGTTCTGGGAGGCCGTGTAGACCCTCTGCCACTCAGTCTCTCCGGTGCAGAAAACACGTCTCCTGAGCACGGTTGCTTGCCTGCCTCACCGCTGACCCCCGAGGTGATCAGGCCTGAAGGACTCAGGCTCTCACTGGGTCAGGTCTTGCAACTCCTTGCTGCTTCCGAACCGTCTCTCCCTCCCCTGCCACTAAGTCCAGTTCCTCAACTCTGCCCTTGATGTTCAGGGCTCCCAGATTGCCATATATAATCGATTCACTTGTTTTTTTGGGCGTTTGTTGTAAGAGGGTCCACTGGAAGGGTCTGACTACTCTGCCATCTTGGCCCCGCCCTCTGCTTTGCTGGATTCTTAATGCCATGTTTTTCCTTTCTGGAGCCCTGGAGTAACAACAGTAAGATGGCACTCCTACGAGAAGCTAGAAACATTTTCTGCAGGTTAATTATGAAATATGGGGACACTTTGTACACAGCTCAAATCCTGATTTTTTTTTGGTGAAGTGGATTTTTGTATACTGCACACCCGTTTCTCAAATATTTTTTATTTTAAAATTTTAAGTGTATTCATCTTTTTGGGGGGATTAAAATAATAACAAATGGTTAATGTGCTCGGCTGCTAACTGAAAGGTTAGAGGTTTGAGTCCTCCCAGAGGAGCTTCAGAAGAAAGGCCTGGTGATCTACTTCCGAAAAATCAGGTGTTGAAAACCCTGTGGAGCACAGTCTTGCTCAGACACTCATGGGGTCATCTTGAGTTGGAATGGACTCCACAGCAACTAATTTTTTAATGTAATATAATAAAACCTTTCTGGAAAGGTTTATACATAGAAAAAGGCATTCTTGATGGTTATGAGGGTGGGGAGGGAGGGAGAGGAGATATCACTAACTAGATAGTAGGCAAGTGTCAACTTTGGTGAAGGCAAAGACCACACACAATATAGGGGAAGCCAGCGCAGCTTGACCGAAGCAAAGACAAAGAAGTTTCCTAGATACATCCAAACACCTTGAGGGACTGAGTTGCTTGGGCTAGGGTCTGGAGACCATAGTCTCAGGTGACATATATGTCAATTAGTATACCATAGTTCATAAAGAAAATGTTCTGCATCTCACTTTGGTGAGTAGTGTCTGGGTGTTTAAAAGCTTGCGGGCAGCCGTCTAAGATACATCGATTGGTTCCGTCCCGTTCAAAGCAAAGGAGAATGAAGAAAACTAAAGATATGAGGAAAATATTAGTCCAGAGGACTAAAGGACCACATGAACCAGAGACTCCACCAGTCTGAGACCAGAAGAAGTAGATGGTGCCCAGCTGCCGTCATGGACTGCTCTGGCAGGATTCACAACAGAGCGACTCGGACAGAGTGGGAGAAAAATGTAGAACAAAATTCAAATTCATGAAAAAAGACCAGCCTTACTGGTCTGATGAGACTGGAGGAACCCCTGAGACTATGGCCGCCAGACACCCTGCTAACTCAGAACTGAAACCACTCCCGAAGCCCACTTTTCACAGAAAGATTAGACAGGCGTATAAAAAAAAAAAAAAAAAAACACGTGAGGAACATGCTTCTTAGTTCAGTCAGATATACGAGACTAAACGGGCAACCCCTGCCCAAAAGCAAGACAGGACAGGAACTGGACGAATGGACGCAGGGAACCCCGGGTGGAAAGGGGGAGCGTGCTGTCACATTGTGGGGATTACAACCAATGTCACAAGACAATATATATAAATTTTTGAGTGAGAAATTAACTTGAGCTGTACACTTTCATCTAAAACACAATAAAATTAAAAATAATATTAATAAAACCTTGCTGATTCATAATAGATCCCAGAGTTCATGCAGTAGCAATGCAAATAACTGATCTAATGGCTTTAATATAAAAAAAAAAAGACTGTGTGATGAACCAGAGCACTTTGAAATATATAGTTCCTCAACTACAGTTTTAACCTCCTTGCCAGCACTTACACTGGGAGATAGGCAGGCCTTTTATGGCTGCTGGGGGCCCAGGTCCCATTGTCTGGTGCTTTATATTTAAGCATTGTGTTGTGGTCTGGGCAAGCGAGAAGCATACCCACCCGAGGCTATAAGTGGAAATCAAGGCAATAGCGAGTGACTTGGAAGAGAAACTGATCCTCTAGGCTTTACCCTGTAATAAATGAAAGAAGTTTGTTTTCTAAATAACTTAATTCTGTACAGAACTTGTTTTGCTGTAAAGCAAGTGTTTAGAGAAATGAAAATCAGAACTGAGCTTTGATTGCCAAATTCACAGCAAAATAAAGTCTTAAAAAGCTGGCAAGTATGCTTTGTTGTTGTTGCCGGCAGTTGTTATATGAATTCCGACTTACAGCGATCCCATGTGACAGAGCAGAACTGCCCCATAGGGTTTCCTAGGCTGTAATCTTTTTGGGAGCAGGTCGCCAGGTCTTTTCTCTCGAGGAGCTGCTGAGTGGGTACGAACCGCCGACCTTTCAGTTAGCAGCTGAGTGCTTAACCATTTCTGCCATCAGGGCTCCTTAAAGTACATTGTGCCATACTAAAATAAAATGAAGGACTCCTGTTAATACGGAGTCCGTCAAGGAACCGATGGGTCTGAGCTGTACAGAGACTGATGTGCTTTTCGTTGA